ATTATAAAGGAGTTATCAGGCAAGTGGTGTGTTGTCATAGGGAAAGCATGGTCGGCATTTTCATATGCTTTAGAGGAGTCAAAGAGCCTATTGAATTTGCTAACCAAATATTATTAGGGGTATTTGTGTAATGGTAGAAGCTAGAGTGCAAAGGAGCAGAAGAAGTGTGAGATTGTGAATCTACATTACTTTTTCAAGATGTTAAGCTAGGAAGCATAGAAGAAAGGGATGTTATTTGAAGTTTCTGGCTAGCCGATAGTGAGAAATGCTCTCCTAAGGGTAAGTCTGTAGAAAGTTTCATCTATATCTATAGGGAAGCATCCTATATTTTTGAGAAATTGGCTCTCTTTTTGGTTGATGCTCAAAGAGTTGCTCTCATTTTTGTTCTGAGGCTTGGGTATTGTCTGGATACCCCCATTTGTGGTTCAGTAATGATTCCAAGCAGTTACAGGCTGATGAAATTAACAAAAATAGACTTCAGGAAGAACTGAGTTGTACAAAAACCTGCAGGATTCACCGTCATTGAGAAGCAAGAATTTCCCCTAATAGAAAAGTTAAAGTATATCTTCTTGAGGTTTCCTGAGGTTAGCCATCAGGCTAATGATGATTTAAATTTGGGGACACAACCATACACTTTATGACCTTTTGTAAAAGAATCTTGGAAGTATATGTTTCTGTTGTTGATGTGCTTTACAACAGTATTCTCTGAATATTCTAGATTCTGTGACACTTTCTGTTCCTTGACAGTAATACCCATCTACCTTGAGAAAACTTAGTCTTTTGGGTGTGGGAGGTAAACTAACTCTGAGTGAAATAAAGGAACTATAATTTTATTTTATTTTATTTTTTGAGTTGGAGTTTTACTCTTGTCCAGGACTGCAGTGGCACACTCACGTTCACCGCAACCTCAACCTGTTGGGCTGAGGTGATCATTCCCCTCAACCTTCCAAGTAGCTGGAACTACAGGCATTGCCAGCATGCCCGGCTAATTTTTTGATTTACTGTAGAGATGAGATCTCACCAGGTTGTCCAGGCTGATCTCAAACCCGTGGGCTTAGGCAGTCCTCTCACCTCAGCCTCCCAAGGTGCTGAGCCACTGCACCCAGCTTGTAATTTTATTGATACAAGGTTGATAGGAAGTTTCTTTTGTTGTCTGTTTTGTTAATGATGATTTTAAAGTCCACAACATTTTTATTTGCATGGCAGTCTTTTTTTTTTTTTTGAGTTGGAGTCTCACTGTGTCGCCCAGACTGGACTGCAGTGGCACGCTCCCGACCACCACAGCCTCAACTTGCTGGACTCCAGCAATCCGTCCACCTCAGCTTTCCAAGTAGCCAGAACTACAGGCAGGTGCTACCACACCCGGCTCGTTTTTTTGATTTATTGTAGAGACGAGGTCTCACCAAGTTGCCCAGGCAGGTCTGAAGCCCCCGGGCTCAGGCAATCCATTCACCTCGGCCTCCCAGAGTGCTGGGATTACAGGCTGAGCCACTGAGCCTGGCTGCATGGCATTCCTTTAATTAAGTTTTTTACAGTTTAAATTGACTTCAGTTCATTATCTGCCAAAATCTTGCATCAGGCAATTGATTTTTCAGATATCTCTGTGAAGTTTCACTTTCTATTCTCCTGTCTTCTGAGTTCACTTGCGGGAAAGCGATACTAATTCATCAGAAAAAAAAACAGCTTCTGCAAAGTATTAACTTTCTAGTATTATTTACAACATTGACCTTTTACATATAAATAACTCTTCTTTGAGTAAAATAATTTTGTATTCTGCAAAAATACAGTGAAGTCCTTAACTGTTACTTGGCATTTCCTAGTCTGCCAGGTAGTTGTATAAGGTAGGCACTAATAAAACATTGAATTAGAGTTAGTATCAGGAAAGGGCAGTACTCTGCAGCTGTATTTGCATATGCTTGTTATTTTTCTTCCAGATGAGAACTGTGTAACTCGTCATATTATCCTCTTGCTCTGCTTTTCAGGATGTTGTTAATGTAGAACTTAGTGAAATTAAATGCCTAAACAAGTTTTGATGCCTCTAAGCTTTTGTTTTTCAATCTCATTTTTTTAAGGGAAGTTAAAAAGTCATATTTCATTTCTATTTTTTATTTAATTACTTATTTTTTAAATTGAGACAGACTCTCCCTGTGTTGCCCAGGCTGGTCTTTTACAAATCCTGGCCTAAACCATTCCTTCTGCCTCAGCCTCCCAAAGTGCTGGGTCTATACACAGACATAAGTCACTGTGCTTGCCCAAAGCCTCATTAAAAATTTTTTTTGCTCTGTTGCCCAGCCTGGAGTGGCACAATCATCGCTCACTGTAGTCTTGAATTCTTAGACTCAAGTGATTCTCCCACTTAGCCTCCCGAGTAGCTGGAACTACACGTGTGTGCCACCATGCCTGATTAATTAACTTTTTTTTTTTTTAGAGACAAGGTCTCATTATGTTGACCAGGCCGGTATTGAACTGCTAGCCTCAAGCAGTCCTTCCACATAAGCCTCAAGAAGCGCTGGGATTATGGGCATGAGCCACTGCACTTGACCAGAATCTCATTTTCAAATGTCCTTTTCTACTTGTACTTTAATATTGAAAGCTACCGGAAGTTTTTTTTAGGAGCATGAAGAAAGTATGTTTCTTCAGAAGCATAAGTAAAAATAATATTTACAACGTGAAAAAAATCAATTTTAAAAAGTCGGTATTTGTTTGATTATCTTTATGCATTTATATATAATTAACCATAAATAAAAGAAAATTTTAGGGAATTTTCAAAAAAATCAGTTTATTATTTTAGTAAGCAGCATTATGGCACAAAAGCCTCAGCAGTAAAGCATATTATCAGTCAAAATGTTACTGGTTGTCCTTTAGCAAAGATGATGTATTCTGAATTTTAGGCTGTTGCTCATTCAAAAATCTCACACTGCCAAATTCCCATCCCCAGATAGTCAGTTACTTTACTTAGGCTTCTTAACCATCTTCTAACCTTTCTCCCTGAAAGGAGACTTGTTAGACATTTTTCCTAATTGCCCTTCCCATGAATTCTCATACTACCAATGTATTGTGTATCTCTTTATGTACTGTGCGTATCTCTCTCTGGACTTTATGCATCAAAACAGTAGGACCTTTTCATGTCTCACTAATCATTTTTCATCTCTTAGAGGATGATATCACCCCTGATGAGAGAGAATGCATGAGTTAGGTCCATTCGGTTTATGAAATGTACTTACTTAATTTTATAGTTGAATTTATAACTTTTTTTCCCATTAGGCTGAAATTTGATCTCCCTTGGATAGTTAATATATAAGGTCAGGTTCCTCAAGATTAGATCTGTTGGATAATTTCCTGGCCCGATTCCCAATAAATCATTATTTTCATATGAAAGAGCATTCATTCCCCTTGGGTGTGATTTTCTTCCTTTTGTTGTTGCAGACTGGTAGATCTGGATTTGTCTTATTTTTTTTTTTTTTCTCATGATCACATTGGGGTTATGGGTTTTTGGTAAGCATACCACAGAATTGAAGTCACCTCCTCATTGTTTTATGTTGGGCCTGTCAGCATGACTGATCTCTGGTGAGGTGAACCTTGATCACTTGATTAACGTGAGATTTGCCAAGTGTTTCCACAGTTTTTCCCTTTCCAAACTCTTTGGAGGTGATTCATTAAGTCCAGCCCTCATTCAAGGGGTTTAGGGTTAAGCTTCACCTCTGTGTGAGAGGGGACCCCCTAAAAACCAGAGGTATCTTTTGGAGGGTGGACCCCTTCCTTTGCTAGGCAGATGTTCTAGGAACCTGTTGGCATCAGTGTACTAGCTAGTGTTGTGAGAGGCTATGTTTGGCTTAATTTTTTTTTTTGAGATTCTTTCAGTGCATTTGCACATTTCATGATGTGTGATTTACGAGCACACCTGCCCACACCACGTTGAGTGTTTGGCAGTTTGGACCAAAAACTCTGTGATGTCCATGTCCCACCTCCCTGTTCATCTGATTTCGCCCAGTGTGTTTTTTTGTTTGTTTGTTTCCCTGGATGAAAAAAGTCCTTAAATGGAAACGTTTTGCTGATGTGGAAGAAGTGAAACAAAAAATGGCAGAAACACTAAAAGGCATCCAAGTGGACAAGTTCAAAAACTGTTTTGAGCAGTGGAAAAAGGATCTCAATAGGTGTATTACATCAAACAGAGAGAACTTTTGAAGGTGACTGACATTTAAACATGTAATAATAAATGCACAATTTTTAATAAATCCTGGAGGTTTTTTGGGGGGAGCGGGAATTCCCCCTTGTAGTCAGAGGGTCTCAGTCAAGAGATGTTTTATCCCAATCAAGGGATCCTGTATCTCAGGCGCCATCTGGTCTGAGCTAGGAAGAAGAAAATAAGGGAGTAGTTAACCTGTAACAAAAGGTGAGTAATTAAGAGGTCAAGTTTCATTACTCAGACTCTAAAGTCAGCTTTCCTCAGGGTCTAACAACTTTTAGAAGCTCCAAATAAACTACCATTTTCTTTCTCATTTGTAAGTTTTTGTTATTGGCTCAAGTTAATATTTATGGCCTTTTATGTTTCCAGAGATTTCTGGAACTTGACTTCTGGGAATGCGAAAGGCTTCTGAGTTTTTGACACCACTACACTACTAAGAACACTCTAAAATTGTACTCTGAAAACATTGATAAGTCTATGTCTTGGTATATTTTCCATCAGTACTACATAGTTTTGAGTTTTCTTTGTGGCCCAATTGTTGTATTGCCTTAGGATGTTTATTGATACAGTGCTTTCATTTCTCTATACTTCACGTGTACAAAATAAACAATTTTTAAGAGTGGTCACAGATTTGAGTTCAGTCAGTACAGTGATTGATGAACAGCCAGCAGGATGTTCTCGCTTGGAAGGTACATTTTAAGTTGAAGACCGAGGTCACAGGTAGAAAGTGTACCTATTCTTCACACTGAATAAGCCTGAAGTGTTAGTTTTTTCTGGCATCTTTAGATGTCATCTTTTCTGACTATAGGTTCAGAATGAGCACGTGTTGTTGGTGTACACCAGGTGGTAATTCCACCATTGACTTCCTGAAGTCTTATGCATCCAAGACCGAATCCAGTGAATTTCAAACAGCTGATGAAGACCTCTGCTACTGCTTGGAGTGTGTGACTGAATACCACAAAGCAAGAGATGAATTGCCATTATTGCATGAGGTAATTTAAATTCCCTAGGCAATATTTTTCAGAGCTTGATAACCAGGAAGAGAGAAGTTTAAACTCTGTTGGACGCAGTCAGAGAAATGATGTGATTTGAACTTTGAAGGCTAGTAAACCTTAAGCACCTAACTTATTGTCTGGCATATAGCAGGTGTTAAGTAAATGTTTATCATTGATGGGATTGAATTGAAACAAAAAGCAGAATTGCATGATCCATCACTTTTAGTCATTTTGTTATAAAATAATTTTATGAAATGGAGCCAGTGGGAGTGGGTATGTTTCACTTTTTAATGTCAGTATATGAGTGCTACATTCGTATATCTGAATGGCTTGATTTTTTGTTTTCTGAGTCAGGGTCTCACTGTGTTATCCAGTCTGGAGTACAATGGCCTCGGATAATTTTCCCGCCTTGGCCTCCCAAAGTGCTGGGATTATAGTTGTGAGTAACCACATCTGGCCTAGGGCTTTTTAGTAACTTTTTTTAGTGGGTAAATGTATTCATATTATCTAATCACAGTAAACAAAGTGAAATATATGCTTCTAAATTTGTATCTTTGAATATTTGGTTCATTTATATTTTTATTTGATGAAAAACAGAACTTACACCACAGAACTATGTACAGTATATAGAGGAGGGGATGATTAGTTATGAATCTGGGTTGAGAAACTTGGCATTTTTATGAAGTTTTCCAATTATAAAGGTAGCCAGTGGCTGTAAGCTGAAGCTGTTGCTTTCTAGGAACTCCCCTGCTGGAACGTAGAAAGGAAGACCTAGAAGCCTGAGCTTGTGCCTTTGACAAAGAATCTGCAGCTTCTCTTTTCCTTTTGAATATAGTGTAGTTGATAGGGATGTTGAGATATTTATGATAAAACTCTACAAGAGAAGTATTGAAGCATTTCCTACTCTATATCGCTTAAAAATGGCCACATTTAGGTAATGTCTTCTTTAAATAAGTCTCATATATGATGTCTGGTACGGCTTTCAATTTCTAAATTTTTGTACTTAGGAAAAAACTTTCTGTGTGATCATTGATTGCATTCAGCATTTTTTGTTGATAGGATATGAAGTGCACTCTCCATTTTTTTTTTCTATAGGTTTTATGGGAATTAGAAACCTTACGTCTCATAAATCACTTTGAAAAATCCATGACAGCAGAAATTGGAGATGATGACGAATTATATATTGTAGACAACAATGGAGAGATGCAACTTTTTGACATTACCGGACAAGACTTTGAAAATAAGCTTCGAGTTCCTCTTCTTGAAATACTGAAATATCCTTACCTGCTTCTACATGAACGTGTTAGTGAGTATCTTGGGTAAAATTACATCAGTTTTATAAGATGAGACTTTAGTTTATCTATATTGCAAATTTGTTTGCTAAATATATGATTAGGATATGTAATTGGTACTTAATATTTTTCCAACATTTTACTTTGAAAGTTCTTAAACATAAAAAAAGTGAATTAAGCTGAGCTCGGTGACTCAGCCTGTAATCCCGCACCTTTGGAAGGCTGAGGTGAGTGGATTGCCTGAGCCCGTGGGTTCAAGACCCGCCTGGGCAACTTGGCGAGACCTCATCTCTACAATAAATGTAAAAAAATTAGCTGGGCATGGTCACGCGCGCCTGTAGTTCCAGCTACTCGGAAGGTTGAGGCGGAAGGATCGCCGGAGCCCAGCAGGTCGAGGCTGCGGTGGCCAGGAGCGGCCACTGCACTCCAGCCTGAGTGACAGAGTGAGACTCCAACTCAAAAAGAAACAAACAAAAAAGTAAATTTTAGAGTAAACAGCATATCCTTACCACGTAGATTGTACAGTTAACATTTTGTTGTGTTTGTTTCATCACATATCTATTCATCCAGTTACTTTTTGTTCTTGTGTCTATGGCAGGGCTCTGAACCTTTGCACTGTTGGATTGGATAATTCTCTGTTGTGGGGATGTGGGGAGCTATGCTCTTCTTTGTAGGATATTTATCTGCATCCCTGGCCTCTCCTTCAAGCCAGTAGTGCCCTCTACCATGACGATTAAAAATGTCTCCATAGATTGCTGAATGCCCCTAGGGGAGGAGGGCACAAAATTTCTCTCTAACTGAGAACTGCTAATCTTTAGTAATTTTTACTGATCAGTACGGCGTGGCATATTTTGACTGTCTAGATTTTGGTCAATTGTATTTGCATTTCTTTTTTTCTTTTCTTTGTTTTTTGTTTTGTTTTGTTTTGTTTTTTTGCTTTTTGGAGACAGAGTCTCGTTCTGCTGCCCAGGATGGAGTGCAGTTGCTTGATCATAGAGTTCACTGCAGCTTTGAACTCTAGGGCTCAAGTGATCCTTCTGCTTCAGCCTCCCAAGTAGCTGGCATTACATGTTCCACCATGCCCAGCTAATTTTATTTTGTATTTTTATAGAGACGGGGTCTCTCTGTGTCATCTAGACTGGTCTCAAACTCCTAGTCTCAAGCAGTCTTTTTGCCCTGGTCTCCCAAAGTGCTGGCATTACAAAGTGAGACACTGCATCTGCTTCAATATTTGCGTTTCTTTTTTTTTTTTTTTTTTTTT